ATTCTGATTGTGGATTCATTTCTCATCCTCCGCTTCCTCATCTTCGTCCTCCTTCTTGCGCTTACGTTTGTTCTCGCAAGCAGCTTTCTGAGCTTTCGCGATAGCATCAGTCAGCTCACGCAAACTGAGGCCGCAAAGCTGCATCAAGTCGTTGTGATACCGAATACGTGCATCGGCATCTGAAGGGGGTGGCTTGAGAGCAAGGGACACGGATCCACCATCGTTCTCCTGCAACCGGATCACAGAGCATTGGTCACTGGCAGCTTTCATAACGATCATCCATTTATCTCTCGGCAAAGCCTTCTTGCCTTCATTCTTGGCTGAGCGCAGACGTGAGCACGCCTCACGTGCATCCATCTTAGGGGTCCCCATGAGCAAGGTGTGGCGAACAATGAAGCGGTCTGTCAAACGCGGGGCATGCAGGTTGCCTTGGACACTGCTGCCATCGTGGCCATATCCGTAATCCAGAGCCCGGACGTCTTTGCTAGTCAAAAGTGCCAAAGGAGGATTCTCTACTGTTGGCGTGGCCGGCACGGCCACGAGACTGTCGGCGACGTTGGGTGCACAGGGAGCATCGTGATCTGAAGCACCATTGTCATCTTGTGGCGGAGGCTGTGTTGCTGGGAAAGATGCAAAATCTTCACGCGCCCAAGGTGCGGACACACTTCCGAGGAGCTCTTGCGCAGTGGGGGTGACTGCATCGGGGTCGGATGCCAAGTCCCCCAATGCAATGTCTTTCAATCGGTGCACCTCAAAGATACGCATGCAGAAGACTGTTTTACAGAAATGTCTACGTATATTGTTTGTGGAGACACATTGCGCGAAGCTAAGCACCCTGCCAACTTCAGCAGCAAGAAGGCACGCTGCAAGTGGTCTTTGGTGACTTTGAGGCTTCTTCCCTCCAAAGCCTCGTTGCCATGAACACCACAGAAGATCTCATACACGAGAAGGAGCGCCGCCAGCACGCCAATGTGCCAAGGTGCAGCACCAAGGCGAGCTGCCGTTTGCGTGTCACCTTTCTCTCGCGAAACGTGGCTTTGCACGTTTAAGCCCCCCTGGTAAGACAAATGGAAGGCGCGTGCTTCATCGTCAAACTCCAACGTCATGTGAGGCTCATGGAAATATGTAGTGACACGTGCCACAGCTGGTCCTAGAGTGAATCCCTCGGGGATTGGGAAGCTTCTGTTG